AATGCATTTTTCAGGACCTACAAAGTGCCTCCAGTGATGCCATGAGATGCAAATATTCCTTTCCTGGCTTTCCCTTTCCAACCTCCGCCCTCCTTCCCTGTTCCCCCAGGGCTGGGTGTCTCCTGGCTGTAAGGATGATGTCCCCATGATATCTCCCCCCTTCTGGCATTCAGGATGGGATTTTGGGCAGAGCCACGTATTTCATCCCCTCTGGGTGCTGTAGGAGCTGTTCCTCAGAGCTGCTTTTGAGCATCTCAGAAGGAAAGGAGATGATTTGAAGCACCTCCCTCATCTCTAAGACATCATCCCATCACCCTGGTTCCTAGGCCTGCTGGTTCCAAGAGAACTGCTGACAGGATCCCAAGGGCAGGCAGGATGTGGTTGGACCCAAAGTAATCCTTAAAAGCACCCAAAATTGTGATTGCAATATCAGGACCCTCATCCTGGGGCCACTGAATGTCCTGGCCTGAGCCCACGCAGTCCCTGCAGCCACCACCAGTTCTCTGCAGCCACCACCAGACTTTTTGGAAGCTGCTTCATTTTTTTCCCCCTCAGAGCTGTATTGTGGTTAAATCTAGTCCTCCCACCTCATCCCACGGGTGCAATCCAGGCACGGGCCGCTGTGATGGAGCAGGGCTCCTTCTTCCCTCCCTCCCTGATGCCGGGTGGGTGCCCACAGACCCGGTTGGGAACCTACAGCCCCGACTGTGTTTCTCCAAATCTAAATATTTTGCGCCCTCTCCTGGGTCCGGGTGGCGTGGCCGGGCACCTCCCACCCTGTCCCCTCCCTTTTGTCTGGGAACACCAGGCCGGGGTTGTCCCACCCCCGCCGCTCTCGCAGCCCCCAGGCGTTTTGCCTTTGCACTGCAAGACCCCAAAAATGCATCGGAGGGGATTTTGGCAGCACGGAGCTGCCTTTGCCTCCTCCGTCGCATCCCGTGCCCCAACCCAAAGTCGTTGTCCTCCCCATCGGGACACGGCCACCGCTCCCACAAAACCGGGTGGTTTGAGCCAACAGCAGCACAGGATCCCCCTCCATCCCAGCCCAAGCGATGCTGAGATCTTTGAGCGTCATCCAAGAGCCCGTGACCACTCTGGGCACCCTCCTCATCCTTGTGACAGTAAGGAGACACACTGGGACCACCCCCACTGGATACTGGGGAGGTCCCTGGGTGGCCAAGTACCCAAGGAGGACACAGGGTACCTGCAGGGAGCAAGTGAGGCTGGAGTTGTGCCCTTGGTCAGGTATGGGCAGCCAAGCTGGAGGGATGTTCATCCCTGGAAATTTGAAGCAGATTGCTTAAATCGACTCAGATGTGATTATGACAACCAGTGAAAAACGCAGTTCTCTCTCTAGATATCTGTATTTATACTCTATATACACACATACACTTATAGATCCATATGCTGTGCTCAGGTGGAGCCTGTGCTGGGCCCAGCCCTCGCCCTGCTCACGTATATTCTCTGTATGTACATACAGTGGGTGTGCAGGCAGTGAGGAGAGGGGGAGCCTTCTTCTATACATCCTACATGTTAAAGGAGACTGGCAGAGTGATTAGCAGGGTGTCACCTCACCCATCCCTCCTTGCTGGGAGGGAGCAGCATCCAGAGGCTGTGGGAGCAAAGCTCAATCCCCAGTCCAGTGTGGGAGCGGGGGAGAGGCCACACCAACAGTGGGACGTGCAGTGACATGGCTGAGGACACTGAGGAGCTCAGTGACATGGGGTTCCCAACTCCAACCATTGTGTCCAGGTGTGCTGGCTCTGATTTTGGTGGGTCCTGGTTAGGAGGTGACAGCAGGGCACCACAGACACCAGGATGGGCCAGGTTTGGGGTGCTGGGCTAAGCAGGGAGCTGGACTCAGATGATGTTGAAGGTCCCCTGGCAGGTGACAAAGCTGCTGGCTTGTGTCTGACCCAGTCCATGGTCATGGCTTGGGTGGAAAACCCAGCCTGAGTGTCCCAGTTACCCTTTCCCAGTTCCCAGTCTGGCCAGGGATGTTCTGCCACCATTTGGCAGCACCAATGGTACCAGTGGGTCCCCATCCCTTCCTGGTGTGGCCCCATTCCGGGGACTGGGGCTTGGGGATGTCCAGGAAACATCCACAACACTGATCTTGAGCTGGAGAAACACATGGGCCCATGTGTCCCAGACAGGTAATGAGCTGAGCTAAACCCTCCCCAGCCTGGGAGAGGGTGTCTCCTTTTCACCTCCCCACCAGGGAATTTCTCTTCGAGTAGGGGGAGAAGTTGTCCCCCAGCAGCTCATCCTGAGCCAGGGTCTGTGTCCAGTGTGGTCCCACCATGCTATCCAGTGGATTTTTGTTGCATTGGTGGCTTGGCCACCAAATGCGGTGCTGAGCTGCTCCAACCGAGCAACCAAGCCAGGGAGAGCACACTATGGTGGGTTAATACTGCGCCGCTGCGGGCTGGAGATGGGATCAAAGTGCTGGAAGCTTGGGAGACGCCGTCCTCCTGTCCTCCAGCATGTCCCCAGCTGAAGCCATGGAGCCGAAAGTCAAAATAGTGCCACGGAGGTGGCCCTGTCCTCCCCTACGAGCCGTAGGTGACGCAGTGGTCGTGACGCCACTTGGAGCTCACCTTGTCCAGGAGGTAGCGGGTGCTCTCGCGGAACTTGCGCTGGGTGAAGTAGAAGAGGATGGGGTCCAGGACGCTGTTCATGCTGGCGAAGGGCCTGGTGCACTTGTAGGCGATGGCAAAGGCCTGCAGGGCCGGGCAGGGCACGCCGTCGGAGGAGCGGACCATCAGGTAGATGGTCTTGGTGAGGTGGAAGGGCAGGAAGCTGATGCAGAAGACGATGACCACGATGATGACCATGCGCACGGCCTTGTCCTTCCTCTTGTGCACGGCCAGGCCGACGAGCTCGTCCTTCTGGCACAGGATGTGGGCCATGCTGCAGTAGCAGCCCAGGATGGCGGCGAAGGGCAGCAGGAAGCCGGTGACGGTGAGGGTGATGCCGTAGGGGAAGTAGGCGGCCGAGCGGTCAGGGGGGCTCAGGTCGTAGCACACCGTGCGGTTCCGCTGCGTGCCTGTGGAGGCGAAGACGAAGGTGGGCAGGCACTGGGCGACGACGATGAACCACACCCCGGCACACACCAGCCACGTCAGCTTCTTCCCCTTGCGCTTGTGCCATGAGGCCAGGGGGTGGCAGATGCCCAGGTAGCGCTGGACGCTGATGCAGGTGAGGAAGAAGATGCTGCCGTGGAGGTTGGAGTAGAACTGGAAGCGGACGAACTTGCAGGTGAAGTCCCCGAAAGGCCAATAGTCCTTCTGGGTGTAGTTGTAGATGAGGAGGGGCAGGGAGCAGACGTAGAGCAGGTCTGCCACGGCCAGGTTGAGCATGTAGATCATGGAGCGGCTCAGCGCCTTCCGCGCCACCCAGATCTGCCCGATGACCACGGCGTTGAGGGGCAGCCCCACCACGAACACCACCGAGTACACCAGGGGCAGCAGCACCTGCTTGAACTCCTCGTGGAAGGTGCACGAGTTCCTCCCGGCGCCCACCAGGGCCGTCAGGTTGGTCATGGTGGCAGCACCACCCCGTCAGTGTCCTCTCTGCTGGTGCGGCTCCTCAGCGGCACCTGGGAGTGACAAAGGGGACAGCTGGGGACTCGTCTGCGTGGTGTCACATCCACCAGGATGAACCTGCACCAGTGTGTGTGACTCTGTGGGATGGAGCAACTCCCAGTATCCACCCAGGCTGGGGGATGAGGGGATGGGGAGCAGCCCTGAGGAGGATTTGGGGGTGCTGGGGGAGGAGAAGCTGGACGTGCCCTGTCCATGTGCTCTGGCATCCAGAAACCTCCCATGCCCCGGGCTGATCCAGCAGGGAAAGGGGGGGATTCTGCCCCTCTGCCCCTCAGGTGAGACCCCCCTGCAGAGCTGCCTCCAGCCCTGGG